CCGGCTGGGGCGCCTGTATTTATACGGCAGCCGTAGTTCCTTTTCTACCGATAGGCGGCGCGCAGCGCGTGGAGCGCTTGTCCAGACGTGTCTGCGGTGCGCTTGCCGAGACTTGTCCGCACGCTGCGGTGCGCGGCGGAGCGCGCCGCGCGGCGCCGCGCTCACTCACCACATAGGTGGCGCTAGTGTCGCGCTGCGGCGCGCGGCGAAGCGCAGCGCGCGGCGCTGCACTCACTCGCCACATAGGCGGCGCTAGTGTCGCGCTGCGGCGCGCGGCGGAACGCGGCGCGCGGCGTTGCGCTCACTCGCCACATAGGCGGCGCTAGTGTCGCTCCACCGCAAGGATAAGTACGGCGCTCCGGCCGAGGACGAGCATCATTTCGACGGACTCGCTCAGAGCAACACAGCTTCCCAACACCAACATGCCTTGTACTGCAGTAGACGTCATTTACCACAGGGGGCGACACGGGGCGAAAGTGGTGAAGGAATTTGCGGTATACAGAGTCGAAGGTTGTGGCGCCTTTCATGGCGTGGCCATGTTCAGTCCACCCTACTCAGAGGACTTGGTTGATTTCGACAACACAGAGGAAAATCGCATGGATGCACGGGACATTCATGGATTGACATGGAACAAGGAGGGACTCCCTTACGATACAATGCAGAAAACTCTAGAGTGCTTAACAGTTGACTCCTATAGACTGTACGTCGTTGGGAAGAAAAATGCTAGACTGCTCCAGTCAATTCTTCCAGGCAAACTAGTCATTAACGTACAAAAGTTTTGGAAGACAATGGAAGCACGACAACCAGGATTAGGATTACGCTGCAGCGACGAGGCACACGCAGCTAATGACCGCTTTTGGTGCGCTCTAGACTCTGCTAGCCGACTCGCTCACTGGTTGCATCTATATGGCCCGCAAATATAAGATGCTCCATCAACACCTATCTTTGTTCCACAAAAAATACATGAAATACAAAAAAACTAATACAACATATAACCCTTAAAACTATTATAACCTCAAAAACATGCCATAAACAAGTGGCGCGCAGGGGAGATGCCCACTGGTGAGGGCGCCTTCAGGCGAACTCACCTAGCAAAAGGCCCCATTGAAAAACGACAAGTCCTGACTTGAAGGAAGAAATACGTTGCGTTAGGTTGGGTTAGGTTAGGTTGGGTTAGGTTAGGTTGGGTTAGGTTAGGTTGGGTTAGGTTAGGTTGGGTTAGGTTAGGTTAGGTTGGGTTAGGTTGGGTTGGGTTGGGTTAGGTTAGGTTGGGTTAGGTTAGGTTAGGTTGGGTTAGGTTAGCCGAGGTGACAATGGGTATTCAAGATGGCGGCGGGTGACAATGGGTATTCTTTACTACTTAGCTCACCACACACCAAAATGCAGCGTTCTATCTCAATCCATTCGGTCATATTAGCCAAAAAACACTTCAAAAACGACAGAAAAAAGACAACTTTTTTGGTACTTTCAACTTTTTGTCAAGTTTCATATCGTTTCATATGTTTTTGAGGCTGCTGATGACGAAAATAGAACCCGTCCGGGCCACCGACCGAAAGTTAAATCCCATTGGTGTAGATTTTGATGACCAAATACTATTTTTTGAGGGGATCACGCCCATCTCTACGGCCTGCCTAGGGAAGCAGCCTGCCGGAGGCAGGTTAGCGCCGCAGGCCAAGGTAGGTGAATACACCAGGCGTGGATGGTCGAAACTGGCGCAGCATCGCGAAGCCTGTTACGACCAGACACGGTCTGGCGTACACCTACCTTGTTTAATGTATCCCTTAGTTTTCCTGAAAATCCAAAAACAAGATGAAACAAAGGGCAAAATTTCTCAAATTTGAAGAGAAATAAAAACGTGTTGGGTGAAATAGCTTTTAAGGCCTATTTAGGGTTGATATTTTTGACTTAGCGATAGCGAAGCCCGTTACTTCAGTGCGGTTGAAAAGTTTTGTCTGTCCGTCTGTGTGTGTGTGTGCTCTACTCCTCCTGAACGGCTCGGCCGATCTGACTGAGATTTTGCAGGCTTGTTATGTATCTTTTTGGCTCGGCACACGCTAAATTTCACTATCCTAGCTTACGTGGTTCAGTTTTTATAGCCGAAAACCACCTGCAAAACGGCGAAAAATCGAGTTTTCTGCAGGCAGATCACTTCTGTCTTAAAGAAAGGGGGTCTGGGGGCCGGGGCCCCCAGCCCCCACAAGTTAGAAAGTTTCAAGGGTCAAGATCGTGTTATCGGTAGATGAAGCAACTCTATCTAGAATGAAGGGGGGTCTGGGGGGCGGAGTCCCCCAGCATGCATCAAGTTAGAAGTAACCGACGATGGACAAGCAATTGCCTGCCGAAGGCAGGCTAGCGCCGCAGGCCAAGGTAGGTACGCCAGGCGCGGATTGGAGGAACAGGCAGCGAGACATCGCGAAGCCTGTTACACTGTTAAAAAAGTTATGAATTTTCAAAGCAATTTTGATGACAATTTTACGAATACGGATATGAATTTTACAAACATTGCAATTTTCATAACTTGATGCGAAAATTCGAAACAATTTCGTAAAATTGACAATTGTTGGTAATTTTAAAACCATGTTCTGAAAATTGCGAATCTTAAATGTTGATTTTGAGCACACAATAGTAATTTTCCGAATCCGATTGTAAATTTCATAACTAGCTCAAGAGGCGTGGCCAAGGGGCGCTGGTAGAGTCATCAGTAGCTGACCCTCCGCCTCCCGTGGGACGTGGTAGCACAGCGGTAAAGAGCGTGCACCACAAGTCAAAGATCCCGGGTTCGAAACCCGCTGATCAAAAGCAGATTCGATTCAATAAATGGCATAAGGCCGCTTGGGTGTTCATATACATGAACACTTAGTTGTCCTTTTGCTTAACTGCTCTAAAATGACCTCGCAAACGCGAATATGAATTTTCATAACATAATATGAATTTTCATAACGTGATTGTAAAACAATTTACAATCATTTGTGATTTTAATTTTCATAACAATTGTTTGTGAAAAAAAATGCCAACCAATGTTATGAAAATTACAACTGATTTTTTTAACAGTGTACGACAAGACGCGGTCTGGCGTAAACCTACCTTGTTTTAAAATTTCCACATTTTGACGAACCAACCCACATGTGATTTTGGTCCAAAATGAAAGTTAAATAAGGTCCCATAGTCAGTTTTGACGTACCTCACTTCCTCTACCCGCAAATAATTTTCCTAAACACGCAATTTTTTAAACCTTGCGAAGTGTACTACCTCCTTAAAGAAGCCCGTAGACGAGGTCACTTGAATGATCACATTTCAATTTCCATGTCTCCTTCAAGGCCTTTGAAGCATATTTTTGACGCCAAAACATGAGAATTAAGTGTAGAAATTTGGCCAAGTCCGTAGTGAGATGTTCTTGTGAAGGACCATTTCAACTTCAAATAAATCGTTAAGGCCTAAAGTACAAAATATCAAACAAACTCTGAATACTGCAATGTGAAATTTCGATGTTCTAGGTACAGTGACGATATCTTCACACCACTGGTTGACTCGCAGGCTGCGAGTAATTACCATAGTTCATACATGAGAGAGAACACTGTTAAAAAAAATTACTGAAAATTCATAATTTTTTGTAAGAAGTCGATTTACTTACATTCAGTCTGAATTTTCATACCAAAACTTTCATACTTCGCGGTCTGAAAGTTTCAGACGACGTTAGTCTGAATTTTTTAGATCAACAAGTTGTATGAAAAATGATACCAGTCGGTCTATTTTATCAGACTAAGTTGTACGAAGACGTTGAACAGTCGCACTAAAAAATGCCACTCTGTACAGTAGAACACAAATCGGCGAACTTTTGCCATCGGTTTATGGTAGACGCTCAGCGGATCGTCTCGGCTCAAAAATTACGTACACGGCAAGACTCCTACTTGCAAAGGTAGTGAAGAGGCTAGAGGTGACTGCTGAATTGCGAGGGAGAGCGGCCTTAGCCCAACCACGCGCCGACCCGTGGCCATGCGCGAGAGTGAAATTGTATTCTTTGTTATTTAGCTTATACTGCACTTATTAACCTGAATCTTGCTTTGGTGCGCTCATGCCTTTTCAGACAATCACTTGGAATAAGTTTGTAACAAAATATTCACAATTTCGCCTTCAAGTGGCAATTTTAGCTCCAAAAGATCATCCATGCGACACTAGCGCCACCTAGCGGATAGAGCAATAAGTGTCCATTTCGGAGCTCTGAAACATTCTCTATGCTTTTACGACACTAAACGTAAATATTGTTTGAAGTACAACAGTAGTAATGATAAAAGTTCTCAGAAAATCGAAATATGTACAAAGGGGACGGGGTTTTTTCACTCGTTTTCCGATTTCACAAGTATGAATTTAGTTTTCGGACGACAATGTACGAAACTTGATAGCCATCGCTCTAAATATTCAGACTTGCTAGTCTAAATTCAAATTTCAGACAACAGGTCAAACTTTTCAGACAGTTGGTCTTAATATTCGTACCATTTTATGAATTTACGATTCAGACCGCCAAGTAAGACGAAATCAGTCTGAATTTTCATATTTTTTTTAACAGTGAAGGGTGAAAACACAAGAAGCACAAAACATAGGAAACATTCACTTTTGTTCATGTAGGATATTACCAAAAACATTTATTTTAACAACGGTGCATTAAAGCTACCTCCTTGACACTGGTGGAAATGGAAGTGTACCAAGTCGAGCGCAAGTGGGAGGTAGGACTCGCGCATCGCGGGAGTAATCCGCCACTTCGCCACGATGGGGGTGTTCTCGGCCAGCCCCGCCATCTGGCGCAGCACAGTGGACTGCTGCTCGACTAACTTCTCCACATTCAAGGTGAGTCAGTCACACGCTTGAAACCTTACGAATTATTATGAGTATACCTGGTTGAAGACAAAGGCATTATTAAAGAACACAAGACCAAGCACAATGGTATAATATTCAAGCAAATCCATTCGGTCATATGAGCCAAAAACACTTAAAAACGGCAGAAACATACAACTTTTTAGGTACTTGCAGCTTTTTGACAAGTTTCATATCGTTTCCTATGTTGGGCACATGACGAAAGTACGTAGAAACCATTCTAACCCCCGACCCCCGTAGATTTTGATCAACAAATTCTAATTTTTGAAGGGATCACGCTCATTTCCATGGCCTGTGTAGGAAAGCGGCCTGCCGAAGGCAGGCTAGCGCCGCACTGTTAAAAAAAATATGAAAATTCAGACTGATTTCGTCTTACTTGGCGGTCTGAATCGTAAATTCATAAAATGGTACGAATATTAAGACCAACTGTCTGAAAAGTTTGACCTGTTGTCTGAAATTTGAATTTAGACTAGCAAGTCTGAATATTTAGAGCGATGGCTATCAAGTTTCGTACATTGTCGTCCGAAAACTAAATTCATACTTGTGAAATCGGAAAACGAGTGAAAAAACCCCGTCCCCTTTGTACATATTTCGATTTTCTGAGAACTTTTATCATTACTACTGTTGTACTTCAAACAATATTTACGTTTAGTGTCGTAAAAGCATAGAGAATGTTTCAGAGCTCCGAAATGGACACTTATTGCTCTATCCGCTAGGTGGCGCTAGTGTCGCATGGATGATCTTTTGGAGCTAAAATTGCCACTTGAAGGCGAAATTGTGAACATTTTGTTACAAACTTATTCCAAGTGATTGTCTGAAAAGGCATGAGCGCACCAAAGCAAGATTCAGGTTAATAAGTGCAGTATAAGCTAAATAACAAAGAATACAATTTCACTCTCGCGCATGGCCACGGGTCGGCGCGTGGTTGGGCTAAGGCCGCTCTCCCTCGCAATTCAGCAGTCACCTCTAGCCTCTTCACTACCTTTGCAAGTAGGAGTCTTGCCGTGTACGTAATTTTTGAGCCGAGACGATCCGCTGAGCGTCTACCATAAACCGATGGCAAAAGTTCGCCGATTTGTGTTCTACTGTACAGAGTGGCATTTTTTAGTGCGACTGTTCAACGTCTTCGTACAACTTAGTCTGATAAAATAGACCGACTGGTATCATTTTTCATACAACTTGTTGATCTGAAAAATTCAGACTAACGTCGTCTGAAACTTTCAGACCGCGAAGTATGAAAGTTTTGGTATGAAAATTCAGACTGAATGTAAGTAAATCGACTTCTTACAAAAAATTATGAATTTTCAGTAATTTTTTTTAACAGTGCGCAGGCAAGGTAAGTTTAAACGCCAGGCGCGGATTGGTCGAAACTGGCGCAGCATCGCGAAGCCTGTTACGACCAGACACGGTCTGGCGTACATGTACCTTGTATGGATAATCTTCACTGTACAACATTTAGAGTGTCACTCGCTCATTCTGATGTTCGGTCTGAGCAAAATCAAGTAAGACGGACCACTTCTTCCGGTGACCCTCTCCGATTTGCCTGATTTTTTGTAGGCTTAATAAATAACTAAAGGAGAGTCTAAAGCCAAAATATTAGGTGCGGCAAAAATTTATTGACCGAGATATGGCCAACTTAAGTTTAACTTTTGGAGGAAAAACACAAATTTGGGTATTTTGGACTAATTTTACACTTTTCATAATAGAGGGCTAAAATTTGGTCACCTTATGTAAAATTGACCAAGGAACAAGAATATGACCTCAGATTTGACCTCCGACGAATACCTGCAGAGTAAACCCCCCCAAAACACCTTCAAAACACCTAAAAAAACAGTTTTTTCTTGGGGTTTCTGGGAAAAATATGTGGACAAGAACTTCTGATGATCTTATCTTGTAGAAAATGACGCGATGAATCGAATGAGACCACGCGCAGATTTTTATGTCAAACCGTTTAGGAGATATAGCGGATCAAAGTATGCAAATTTTGCCATTTATTCTTTAAAAAATGGAGGTTTTGAGCATAGTTTGACGTTATCTGCCTTCTTGGTGTGTGTGGGTGATCCTATCGTGTAGAAAAAGACGCGCTGAATCGATTGAGACCACGCACAGAGTTGTATCTCAAACCGTTTAGGAGATATAGCGGTTCAAAGTATGGGCCCGGTAGTCCGCCCGCCCAACAGGCGTGTTTGGCGGGCCTGCCTTGTCGGGTGTTTGTAGGAGCTCTCCCGTGCCCATACTTTAAACCACTATATCTCCTAAACGGTTTGAGATACAACCCTGTGCGTGGTCTCATTCAATTCAGCGCGTCTTTTTCTACGAGATACGATCACCCACACACACCAAGAAGGCAGATAACGTCAAACTATGCTCAAAACCTGCTTTTTTTAAAGAATAAATGGCAAAATTTGCATACTTTGATCCGCTATATCTCCTAAACGGTTTGACATAAAAATCTGCGCGTGGTCTCATTCGATTCATCGCGTCATTTTCTACAAGATAAGATCATCAGAAGTTTTTGTACACATATTTTTTCCAGAAACCCCAAGAAAAAACTGTTTTTTTAGGTGTTTTAAAGGTGTTTTGGGGGGTTTACTCTGCAGGTATTCGTCGGAGGTCAAATCTGAGGTCATATTCTTGTTCCTTGGTCAATTTTACATAAGGTGACCAAATTTTAGCCCTCTACTATGAAAAGTGTAAAATTAGTCCAAAATACCCAAATTTGTGGTTTTTCTCCAAAAGTTAAACTAAAGTTGGCCGTATCTCGGTCAATAAATTTTTGCCGGACCTAATATTTTGGCTTTAGACTCTCCTTTAGTTAGATATTAAGCCTACGAGCAGCTCCAGACAAAAAAAACACTTGGCCGGGGACCCCCTCAGATCTGGCTGCCTCCCGGTTTTTTTGGTTTAACTAGTGAATACGAATTGCCGAAACATAAATTGGGCCGGATCCAACACCTATTGGCTTTTTGGCACGGGTCAAAAACCCCCAAAAATGGCTGTTTTTGAGGGTTTGGGGCTTTTTGGGATCTCGGAACCTGCCGGCTAAAAAATCTACCAATATGGTTTTTCCGAAAGAAAAAAGTGCGCTCTTTCGATTGCCGGGTCGCGCGAGGCTCTACGACGTCGGGTTTAGACGCTACGGGCTCTCAAAGTTGCTCAATTTCACTATTTTCACTAAAAATGACTGAAACAGATTTCTTTCTCTCCGGAAGTCGATTGTGACTCTTCCTTTTGGCAATCTTCACCATGCAAGGTATTTTTATACCTCAGAGACATGGTTTGAGCAATGAAGTTACGTTTTTCTACCGTGGGGAAAGCCTACACACTACATAGCGCCTAGTGGGTAGGCAGCCCCTTGCTCAGGCAAGTCGGGCGGGCCTGCCGCGTCAGGGAAGGCAGAGGTGGGATCGGTGTGGACTCTATTGAGCAAGAATATATAAGAGGTGACCGGGTTGGATTTCACGACTCCGATTTAGCTCATTTTTGATGGGTGTTTTAGCACCCTAGAAAGATGCTAAAAGCCAGAGTAGCAGGTCCGGCAAAAATTTATTGACCAATCTGCAGCTGTATTTCTAAATTTGAGTTTTTTAACTTGAATTTGGGTATTTTCTACTTTTTCTACAGTATTTGCATTAGGAAGCTGAGTTAAGGTTTTTCAGACGTAAAATGTGCCAAGGAATTCGAATCTGGGTCCGGAATCGAGCTAGGACTCATACTTCAGGAGATATTGGCAAAAAAAACTGCCAGAAGTTGCCAAAATAGTCCCAAATCCTGGGGAAACGGTCAAAAGTTCCCGTGAGAGGCTTTCCCAGTGGTCTACACTTTAGCGAATGAACCAAGGAATCCAATGAGCTCAACCTTATATTGTTCTCCGACGAACCGTTTAGAAATGGCACACTTTCAAAGTTGAGCATTTTTTTCCCCTTCCAATTTTTTAAGCTTTTTGACCCTGTAGGATTGTATTTTCTGCTAACATCCCATCGGTAATGTCACCTGCCATCCAGGGTCACGTGGTACGAACACCGCGACGCAAAAAAGTAGGAATCGAATGCGCAGCACTCAGCGCCTAGGCCTGGGCGATTAATCGATTAATCGAAAATAACCGCGATTATTTTGTTAATCGTGCGATTTTTTCAAACCCCCGATTAATGGTTCGGTAATCGAAGTACTGACCGATTATTTAACGATGACCGATTATCGATTAATCGTCTCTTTAACAGATATTCTATCCATCACCTGTGCCATGCGAAAACTTTTCGCGCTACACCCAAAACAGACGTTTAAAATTTCCGAACTGTTCCAGTTAACTTGTTTAACAGGATTTCTAAAAATTTCTTGGAGACTTAAACGCATAGAAAAGAACCATGCCCCTGCTCAATATATGGTGTCAATATACTTTACAACATAAAATCATGTTGAGAAATATAGCCGCCTTTCAACATCGAGTGCCAAGATTTTAAGAAAAGTTACATGAAAAGTCTGCCCTCCTAACCCTACCCCATCCCACGACGGGCACCGTGTCATGTATTGAAACATACATTTCGCGAAGATAATATTATATGGGGAAATATATGCATTATATATATTAACGGGCACCAAGATATACCCCTATATATAAACCACGTATTGCGCAAGATAATTTGCTATATATTGAGCAAGATACAATTACATAGGCAATGCATGAAACATAGATGGATTCATATATTCACTACAAATCCAAAGGTCAGACTTCTCGCCACTCCAGAGGCAAGACATTTAAGTCTCGCCAAGTTTTGGTCAGACCTGAAAGTCTCGCCAAGTTTTGGTCAGACCTGAAAGTCTCGCCAAAATTTGGTCAGACAAAAAAGTCTCGCCACAAAACGGTCAGACACAGAAGTCTCACCACAAAATGGCGAGACTTTCAGGTCTGACCAAAACTTGGCGAGACTTTAATGTCTCGCCATATTTTGGCGCAAAGTCTTTCCATCCAATTTGCAGTGTTTTCCATATATTTTCCTTTTTGCAAGGGGTGGGGGAGGGGGTGGGGGGTACCTCACTCCCTCACAACGCCCACGAACCCTCCCTCCCTCTCCTCCTAGCCTCTCTCCGACTTGCCTGAGCAAGGGGCTGCCTACCCACTATTACCATTACCATTAAGGGCTAGACCACATATGATCGTATGCCATTTCGGGCCCGACACATACGCTATGTAGTGTGTGGGCTTTCCCCACGGTAGAAAAACATAACCTCATTGCCCAAAATATGTCGCTGAGGCGCTCGGGCTGCCAGGCACGCCAGGCCCGCTTCGCCTGCACCGGCGGCCATTGAAATTTACCGAAGTGCTACCCCCCCCCCCCCCCCCCTCCCCCCCATGGGTTTGAGAAGCCCACATGGGCTCGCTGAATCAAGTCCAATAGAGCCCACCCCGATCCCACCTCTGCCTTCCCTGACGCGGCAGGCCCGCCCGACTTGCCTGAGCAAGGGGCTGCCTACCCAATAGGCGCTATGTACGCTATGTAGTGTGTGGGCTTTCCCCACGGTAGAAAAACGTAACTTCATTGCCTAAACCATGTCTCTGAGGTATAAAAATACCTTGCATGGTGAAGATTGCCAATAGGAAGAGTCACAATCGACATCCGGAAAGAAAGAAATCTGTTTTAGTCATTTTTAGTGAAAATAGTGAAATTGAGCAACTTTGAGAGCCCGTAGCGTCTTAACCCGACGTCGTAGAGCCTCGCGCGACCCGGCATTCGAAAGAGCGCACTTTTTTCTTTCGGAAAAACCATATTGGTAGATTTTCTAGCCGGCAGGTTCCGAGATCCCAAAAAGCCCCAAACCCTCAAAAACAGCCATTTTTGGGGGTTTTTGACCCGTGCCAAAAAGCCAATAGGTGTTGGATCCGGCCCAATTTGTGTTTCGGCAATTCGTTTTCACTAGTTGAACCAAAAAAAACGGGTTGGAGCCAGATCTGAGGGGGTCCCCGGCCAAGTGTTTTTTTTTTGTCTGGAGCTGCTCTTTAAAAAATCAGGCAAATCGGAGAGGGTCGCTGGAAGAAGTGGTCCGTCTTAGTTGATTTTGCTCTCTGCAGACTGATTCCGAGAGTCGTTTTCGCCGCTCTGTCTCTCTCGCACCAATGCAAGACACTCCATGATTGCGAGAGAGACAGTGAGAAGAGCGGGCAGCGGAATCGCCCGGCTGACGGCACGCGCGGCTAGGAACGTACTTTCACTCCTCCACGATGAGGCGGATGTACTCCCCGGGGTGGTACTTCTCCTTGTGCTCGTGGAAAAGGTCCACTAGCGCCTTCTCGAACTTCTCCAACAGCTCCTGAATCTGCTCCTGGCTCGGTTCTGCCACTCGTTCAACTGGGATAGGCGCCCCAACTGTCGAAATAAAAAAGGAGCTTTTTTTGGGAAATCCTAATAGACGCGTAAACAGTATTATTCGGTCAAAAATGGTTGGATTCGGTCGAATACCACTCGATCAGGGGGGTCATTTTGGAGCTCTTGGTTCCGGATTCCCACAATTCTTAAACCAACCAAAAAAAAGAGTATTTCCGAAAATAATCTTTTTTCCATTTGAAAGTGTTTGAACATGATTAGGTACATGACTCTCCACTAAAACTAAGGATACTATTGATAAAATTTGGGAATATTTACGAATGATTTACGGTCAGAGTGTACGTCTACACGATTCCCGGAGTGTGAAAGTGCAACCACTTTCGATGTTTGAGTACAAAAGATTTCCGAAAAGAAGAGATCTCGTCGGATTTCGTAAGCATTTCACTGTCCTTCGAAGTGTGGTACAGCCTACAGGTAATGTGTGGTAGGCACAAAACTGTGGTTACCCAAATTTACCACACGTGGAAATGCGGTCAATACCCCTAAAAATCAGTGGACAGCAAAGTATCATATAAAATTCATGGTGAATACCACAGCAAACCTCCATACCTCACACTGTGGCAAAAAGCTACGGAAAATTCTGTAAACAGCTTGTGGTAATTCTCCGTAGGCCCCTTATCAATATTCTCCGTAGGCTCTTACAGTATTTTCTGTAGGACCGCACAGTATTCTCCGTAGGACCGCACAGTGATCTCCGTAGGACTATACAGTCTTCGAGGTCCTACGGAGAAGACTGTGCGGCCCTACGGAGAACACTGTAAGAGCCTACGGAGAATATTGATAAGAGGGCTACGGAGAATCCTGGCAAAAAAATTAACAGGATTTTCCGTACCTTTTTGCCACAGTGCATAAAAAGGTGGTCTTGACCACGCAATACATGAGGTAACGGCTAAATTATAGGCCTGTACACCACTTATTTGAAGGGGTGTAAATCTTACCACATTTGTACGTGTGGTAGAATGCGGTAACCACACTTCTGGTCTCACCACAGCCAAATGTGGTAACTTCACCAAACTTTCGATTTCAGTGTTGCCGGATTCTACGCTGAAATTTAGCTATTTTCGTGTCTTTTTTGGCGGATTTCAAGAAATTTCAGGCGCTCGAGAGGGATTTCGCATGTGGTTGCCCTCTCGCCGGAGTGGGTGACTCCTCGCACTCGATAGTAGTAACAAGTAACCTTCTCACATAGGGCCTTTGGGCCTTGGTCAACACCACGAAAACCATCTTGATTCTCTTCGAGCTGACTTCACTTTCATTCGAGGAACGTGACATCACGTTGAAACGGATGTGACAAAATGTCACGTTCCTTTGAGCATTGTGTCACATTCGTTTGTACGCGAATCAGCCAATTTATGGCTAATTCACATCCAAATGAATGTGACACAATGCTTAAAGGAACGTGACATTCAGTGGTGCACTGGAGGACGCGGCCATACGCCGTATGTCCCAGAACAATTTTTCGGCCGTGCGTATGGTCCAGAACATTTTCCCCGCCCATACGCTCAGTTTTGGCCATACGCTGGCCTGGCCATACGCTCGACTTTTGGGGCCCAGGCGGGCCATTGTTGGGATTCCGAGGCAACGCGCGGCGCGGCGGCGCTTCGTTCGAGGCTACGAATATGATTTGTACTTCACTAAGGAATTCCTTGACTTTGTCTCATATCTTGAGTCCTATTTGTAAGTGTCAATTGACCACCCTAGGGTGCATGAGTTTTTGCATTTTGATGCATGAGTTGCAGAGAAGTATGCAAAGTTGTGGATGACTGAGCAACGATCAGCGACCGACACCCGGGTCAGAAAATGTGCACCAAGAAAGCATCAAAAGAAACTGTTGTGGAACTGGCTGTAAAATAAAAATATAAAAGAATTGCCCCCCCCACAAGTTACCACATTTGGCTGTGGTGAGACCTAAAGTGTGGTTACCGCATTCTACCCCACGTATAAATATGGTAAGAATTACACCTCTTCAAATAAGTGGTGTAAAAGTCTATAATTTAGCCGTTACCTCGTGTATTGCGTGGTCAAGACCACCCTTTTGTGAGGTGTGGAGGACTGACCACATATTTGCTGTGGTATTTACCATGGATTTTGTGTGGTACTTTGCTGACTCCTGATTTTAAGGTGTATTGACCGCATTTTCACGTGTGGTAAGTTTGGGTAACCACATTTTTGCGCCTACCACACACCATCCGTAGTCTGTAGGTATTACCTTACTTCTAAGGACACACTCTCATTCCAGGAACGTGACATCACGTTGAACCGAACGTGACAAAATTTGTGACAGCATTGTGTCACATTCGTTTGGGTGTGAATTGGACAAAAATCAGCTTGTTCACATTCAAACGAACGTGACACAATGCTCAAACAAACGTGACATTATGTCACGTCCGTTTCAACGCCACTCTCATTCTAGGAACGTGACATCACGTTCAAACGAATGGGACAAAGTGTCACGTTTGTTTGAGCATTGTGTCACGTTTGTTTGAGCATTGTGTCACGTTCGTTTCGATGTGAATCGGCCATAAATTAACTTATTCACATTCAAACGAATGTGACACAATGCTCAAACGAACGTGACATTTTGTCACATTCGTTTGAACGTGATGTCACGTTCCTGGAATAAGAGCGGTGATGTCACGTTCCTGGAATGAGAGTGCAGTGAGTGTGTGGTGCCACATGGCGCCTAGTGGTGAACGTACCCACGACAGTGAGCGGCAGCCGGTGCGGCACAAAGAACGAGAAGAAACCCCTGCCGACGGGCACGACGGGGAGGAAGCCAAAGACGCGGCGGAACCACTGCTTGAACGTGGTCATGGCGGAGCCGTGCACTTGGGACAGCACGCGGTGCTCGTTGAAGGTGAACACGGGCACGAGCGGGACGCTGCAATCAATCAATCAATCCATCAGTCGACGAAACATGAACCTCTTAAAAATCGAAGACAACGCCGATTGGCGTTGTTTCGCTCGAGTTTCGCTCGAAACTCTCATTCCAGAAACGTGACATCACGTTAAAATGAATGTGATAAAATGCCACGTTCCTTTGAGCATTGTGTCACATTCGTTTGGATGTGAATCGCCAAAAAATTAGCAAATTAACATTCGAACGAATGTGACACAATGCTCAAAGGTACGTGACATTTTGTCAAATTCGTTTCAACGTGATGTCACGTTGTTGGAATGAGAGTGGACACACTAAATGTCTATTGACTTCTTTTGTCTTCAATTGATTACAAAAATTGGCCATACAAATTTAGTCCGCTGCGGCGCGCGCGCCTGCAGGTCCGGCCGGAAGCCATCCGCTCTGGTTGCGCCTTTGCGAGCGGCGGATCTCTCTCTCTCTCTCTCTCTCTCTCTCTCTCTCTCTCTCTCTCTCTCTCTCTCTCTCTCTCTCTCTCTCACACACACAATCTCAGACACTCTACGGACTATTTTTCAGTAAACCCACAATTTAATTATTTTTTGTGCAATTGTAGTCTTTTTCATTGTAAGTACAGAAAAAATAATCAGCAACCTTACTGAAAAGTGGTCTGTTGATATCTGCAACTACAGTTATGATCAAGCAGAAATTACTGTAGCATTCTAGTAAAAATGGTCTATAAATGTATGCAAAATGTTCTCTACATACAGATAATATATACAAGAAATAACAGAAAAGATATTTAAGAGTCACAATAATCTTTTGGTTTTTTCCGCTAAAAGTCACATCCCAACCATCTTATAAAAGCCGCTTACATTGAGTCCTGTCTTGACTTGTCGAAGCTAAAAATGTTTTGTACGATCATTTTGACTAAGCGCATTACCTTCCAATCAGCTTTGTTTGAACGGAGAGAAATGTCACTGAAAATATTTAACGAAGATCACACACATGTCATGGACAAATTATTTATGCGGACAAACTTTATCTCCTACATTTGCAGAAAATAAATTCTTGGATTATAAACAAATTTATTTCTGTAGGCTGTACCACACTTCGAAGGACAGTGTGACCCTCCCCCTCCCCTCACCCCTGCTGCAGAGCCAGCCTCACGAAGCCCTTCCTCCTCCTGAGCACGATGCGGTAGTGGCCGGGCTCCGAGAGTTGCGCCTCGCGCGCGCCGCCGACCACCAGCAGCACCAGCCGGCCGCCGCGGGGGTCACTCAGCGCACAGCGGAGGCTGGATTCGGCCGCGCTGATGATGCCTGGACAGAGAATCCGCGCTGAAGACGATTCGACCAGGGGGTAGCAACACGGCACTTTTGACGCTCCGTGCCGTAGCGAGGCTCGGCCCCCCACCACCTAAGGTCATATGGAAGATAGGTCGGCGCAACCGAGATGCATGCTGGGAGACCGGGCAAGCCGGCAGGCAGGCATGTAGGCGGCCCTTCGCTGCACCCGGCGACGGACCCAGCATGCATCTCGGTTGCGCCGACCTATCTTCGGTTGCGTCCAGTTAGATGGGTGTCTATGTGTGTCTATGGGTGGTTTTGGGTGTCTGAGCCACCCTGCGCCTTGTAGCAGTCTCGAGGACGACCGATCGCTTGCCCGCAGGGGGCGCTGACTTCGGCGGAGAGGGGAGAAGCAGAGAGGCGTTGTCGGCAGAAAGAGGCGGGAAGAATCCTTTCGCGCTGTTGATTCTTTGCAGATTTCGTGCTTGTGTGGATTGTTGTCGGCAAGAAACCTTTCGCGCCGTTATTTCTTTGTGAGGATTTTTAGGGGTTCCCAAGAACCCCTATTGTCCGAGGTCCGTGGATTCTTCCCCCCCCCTCTCCGATTTTCAAATAAACAACTCTAAACTATTTCAACCATGAAAAAAACGAAAATTCCAATTTTTTTCGAAAATTCATCGTGGAAATTTTCCGTAAATTAGAAAAACATAAATTTGCAACAATCGAAAACGAGAACCGTTAATGATATGAAAAAATGGTTCAAATAAAAAATGTGCCACTCCTCAAATCTAAACCTCCTGGCTCATCAAAGTAACAAGAAATCGTCTGTGTTCTGAGCAAATGATTAAAACATGAAAAAAAATCTCCATGGCAACGGCATGGTTTCATCGTGCCACCCGTCAAAATTTTAAGTCGCCGATAAAGAGAAATCAAAACGCCGTGAAATTCGAAAATGCCAATGCTAACGCATTGCACGGTGTCCAGACGTTGGAACATCTTTAAAGTCTGTCACTAGTAAAAAGTTCGTAGCAGAAACAATGCATCAAATTAATTTTCGGGGGTTGGCACCGATTTTCTTGCCGTCTGCGCCCTTTCGAAAATCGCGAGGCTGAAAAAACGAGTAGGCGCGCATTGAAACTGCCCCTCCATTGTTGCTGAGGTTGGATTGTTTGGCATGCTTTTAAAGGCTGCGGTTGTCTTGTCATGTTTTCCTCAATTCTGTAGAACAGTTCTTACTCACAACGTGAAAACAGCACGATGGTTGGTTTGACAAACTTTATAAACTCGGGAGGGGTGACTTCGGAACGCGGGTGACTTTCGTTTGGCGAACATGAGCACTGTTAGTCACGAGATGGAGTGAGGTGGTCATGGTATTAACTGAATCAGGTTTGACCAGAACTCTTTTCTATTGGTTATTTTGAATTTAGCGCACGCGCGCTTTGAAATTTTTGGATTTTCTCATAATCATTGAACAGTTGGCACTGCACGACGGTCCAATACATGGCTATCTAAAAATAGCCAAATGTGAAAATGGGAACACCTTGCAATGCGATTAGCATTGGAATTTTTAACATTTAGCGTGCAGTATGTCGGACGTACCCGGGAAAGAAAGTAAGTTACCTCTTTCACAGAATTTGTGTCATATTTTATTACTTTTGCAACATCAATCAAGAAAATATAACATTGTTCTTAAGAGAGGCAGCAGGAAGTTGGAATTGTGTGTCGACCAGGTGGTTAGGAATGATATTCTTAAAAGTAAGTTCATATTTTCATCAATTCTTGAGGTTATGTAGTGAAAGATGTCAGCATTCACCATTGAGTGAGTTTTTCCTTAGGCAAAGAATATGCTGATAATCTCATGGATCAACTCTAAGGACTCCAGCCTGCTGTCGAGGCAGTTCCTAGTACTAGCTCTTCTTCCAAACCAACTGAATCTCATAATACATTGCTGCCATCCAGCTCTTCTGAATCTTATGAGCAATTTGAATCTTCCACTCATGATGACTATCTTGAGCCTGAAAGCAATGGAAGTGATTTTAATCAAAGTGCGTCCTGCTGGAGGTAGGAACACAGATGTTTCATGGTATTATGTGGTTATTTGAATTTGCACCATCCCTAATTCATTGAATTCTTTTTTCTATAAGATCTGTGCAACCAGCTTTCCGCATGTTCACCTTTCAAAGAAAGTAGGCCGGTCATTGTTGACAAATTGTCATGCAAAGTGATTGTTTCCAATCTACCATCAGACGTTGTACCTGTAAGTTTGGAATTTGTGCACTTGTTTTAAAATTAAGGGAGAGTGGGGTAATTCCGGACACGGGGTAATTCCGGACACTTCGATTTTCACCGGGTTTGAGTGAAGATAACTCAAAAGCCCGCCTAACAGAGGAAGATAATCAGTTTATAAGGAGAATTCCAAATCGTCAAAGTAGGAGGTCAAACCGTTTGCCTGTGGTCGCTTCACGAAATTTGAGTACCATCAAAAATAGGCAAAAGCTGCATCTTTCCTTCGTATTTCCATGTACTTATCGTACCTTACCGTCAAGTTCAGTCCCATGAATAAAATTTTATCATGTTATATGGTCATTGGACTTTACTTTGGCGTTTCGGGAGTGCTCGTATGGCTCGCCGTTTTCTTACAGTTGAACATCAAAGGTTTTCACTACCTGTGGGGTAAATCCGGACAATAAGGGTTATTTTCTTCAATTTCCCGCATAATGTTAAGGTAGTGGGTTCAAAATTGTGGACATGCATCCCCACCGTTAAGAAGGATAAAGAAAGAACGAAAAATAGCATTGCAGCTATGTTTAAGAGCTTTACTCGAGACAGTGTTGTCAATTTAGGGGTTTTGATAGAAATTATTCCTTATAATATGCTTTGAGTAATGATCAAACACTTCAGTTCGCAGCAAATGTCCTTGAACGCCTTCTAAGAGCATGCCTCACATCAAAACAAGCGAAAGTAAGCTCGAGTAGTGTCAAATTTTAAGGTCGTCCGGCATTGCCCCATAGGTCGTCCGGAATTACCCCAGCCTGGGGCAATTCCGGACACGTGCAGGGCCTTTGTTTGGCGCCTATATCTCCCTAACCGTTGCTGAGATTTGGCTTTCATGTATACCATTTTGAAGGTAAAGGTCCATACTTTACGCTCCTGTCATAACATTTAACCCAAAAAGCATATTCAAGCTCAAAGACCAAAAAGAAAAAAAAGCGTCCGGAATTACCCCACTCTCCCTTACTAAATAGGCTGCAGACTGTAGATTTAATTTACTCTCTGTGTTTTCTTTTAGCAACACTTTCACAAGTCATGTCTAAAAAGACTGGGGTGCAGCGGTGAGGATATCAGTTTCTCCCCAGTCGTAATCAACAAGATGGAATTGGAGGTATGAAATCGCCGCATTTGAAGGAAATAGAAGGGTTTCCCCCGATTCTCATTTTATTTTTGATTTCAGTTATCTCGGCCTGACTTGGCCCAAAAAGCTGTAAATGATATTCACATGTGGGAGTATGATGAGTGCTTCTTAGAAGCTAAGAGAGGGTGGGGAACCATGACCACTTTTTTTTGGGTCTCCCTCTACTCCACCGTGTGGTTCGAAAAGTTAAGTTTCCAGCATGAGGGGATTTTTTGGACCTCCAAGGACCTCTTCCACCCATTGGAACTTGTGTGCAATGCACGGCAGGCTCCCAGAACATTTTGGAAAATAAAACGCAAAGTGGTCATGGCGCCCCACCTATGGGGTACCATGACCACCCCGTGGGGCACCATGACCATAGTAATTTTTTGGCCCAAAAAGTGTACTTTCTACCAGTATTCTCACTGAAATAGTTTATGTCGCTGTCCTTACCATCAGGCCAGTCAACTTAACTAAAAAACACTGTAAAAACCTTCGAAGTATCAAACGTTCTAAGATGCCTTAGAATGGACGTTTTAAAACAATTAATGCTCTAAGGCTTTCAAATTTCACATCTAAAGCTATGACATGTGTTAACATTTTATGTTTGTCTTGCTAAGACGAATCCAAATTCGTATGCAGATTTCAATTTGGTAAATTTTAAGAAAATTATCGCGGTTACTACACTGCAAACAAGTGAAATAAATGCTGTTTCTCATGATGCCAGAACCGTCTCGGTGCAAAGTAGCCACGGACCGCCTTCGCGGCCAACTTTTGCGGTTTGGAGCTCTATTTACTGGAGAAACTACCATTACAAGTCTCAGTTTCAGAACCATTCTTCATCATCCTGGTGATTCACGATTTGTGATAAAACTATCTATTCTGCAGCAGTTATTCAACCCTTATACATTTTCTGAAGCAAAAAGCAAATTTTTGACGAAAATAAATCATTATCAGACCAAAAAATGAGAAAAAACACTCAAATATGTATTAGGGTGCCGCGAAAAACACTTTTTCTGAAATTGATATCGGCTCGGGTGGCAAAGTGTTCTCTCAGGGGCCACTATGAACGGTGTTAACTAGGGGTACGCGCCGTTTTGAGTGGGCGCGTAGTGTGGCTGAGCGATGCGAATTTGTGCACTTCGGACTGCAGCTTGTGGGCTCATATTGAGTGAAATGTAGGTCTAGGGTATAAATGGGAGTGATTTTTGTTATCAGCATACAAAAAACTGTTGGGATCAACGTCAAACTCGATTCCAAAATTTTGGTCCAAAATTGGTTGAAATTCGGTTATGCGTGAGTCTGGGAAAAATTTGGAAGTCATTTTTGAGCTCAGCGCACCAAAAACTGCAGGAAACGATAAAAAACTTGATTTGAAAATTTTGGTCCAAAATTACCTAATTTGGGATGAAAATATAAGTCTGGAGTCGAAATGGAGGTGATTTTCGTTATCAGCACACAAAAAACTGTTGGGATCAACATAAAACTCCATTAAAAAATTTTTGGCCAAATTTGGTAAAATTGGGTAAAGCTTGAGTCTGGGAAAAATTTGGAAGTTATTTTTGAGTTCACCTCATCAAACACTGCAGGAAACAATAAAAACTCGACCTGAAAATTTTGGTCCAAAATGACCTAATTTGAG